AGTGAAACAGAAGCTTTCATATAAGTTCTTGCTGCAAGTACAAAGGACATAGATTGTAGGAAAATATTAAGGCTTGATCTATGCCTGGAATATTATATAAAAATAGTGATAAAGCTGGTGTGGTGATGCATGCCTGTAATCCCAGCACTTGGAGGCTGAGGTGAGAGGATCATTGCAAGTTTGAGACTAGCCTGGGCTACAAAGTGAGCTCAAAGCCAGCCTAAACTGCATAGCAAGACACTGTCTCAAAAAGAAAAAAAAAAATAGCGATGAGATATCCGAAGAAAAAAATTTAATCCTCTTTAGAAAAAAAAAATATATTCAGGTTTTGGGGATTATGATGGGGGGTGTTTTGGAGTTTTTTTGGCGGGGGGCAGATTTTGAACCAGGAATTAAACTCAGGGCCTCACATTTGCCAGGCAGGCACCATACTAATGAACTACATCCCCAGCTATATTCAGATTTTAGAAAAAGTAAGTGAAATTCTACTTATGAAATTTCAAAAAGATTAAGCTACCATATAAGAATGTAAAATATACATGAGCATCATTTAATCATGTGCAGGAAAACTGGACATTGGAGACACATAGAAAGAGCATTATTAAAATTTTAAACAAATACACCCTTGTAAGTATGAACCTGTTCCAAAGACTGAAGGCCTTAATGTGGTTTTTTGTAACATTAAGAGGAAATTTGCACAGCATTATCAAAAATACTCATACTGTCTTGTACTCCATACCTTGTCAATACACATGTAGTTGCAGACTCCATCAAGCACACTGGACTCAAGTTAGAGGAACATTTTGTTTCTCTGCTTCTCCTTCACATTTTATGAGGAGAGTTGGATGAGGTAAGATATCCCATTGTGTTCAGTAACTTGTGCGCAGAATTATGTGGAAAGATGAAAGGTACAGATCATGAAAATGTCTGTGATTTCTCTAAGATACGTGTGATGTCATTTTAATTTCCAGGTGAGAGTCCTGCACACTGTAACAAGCAGAATATTTTCCTGTGTGCACACAGGTCCTGAGATGAGAGCAGCCAGGGTTATGCTGGAACATGTCTGCAGGAATCTGTGGTCAGCACAGAATCCTGGCCCTGAAATCCATGTCCTCAGATCTTCCCCTGCTTCAGGAACCCTGCGCACGCCTGTGCGGCTTTCCTGCAGGTCTTTCTCCCCAGAAGGGCATCGTCTCAGGATGTGAGCACTTGCCAGCCCTATTGCTCCCACTTCCCTTTCAGAATCTGCCTCTCAGACATGAGAAAGCACTCACCTGTCTCTGCTGTGCTGCATGGATGGAGACTTCAGGCTGACAGGTACACAGACCGCGACATGGGAGAGAAGGTCAGACACACAGATAAGCATAGATGATGCTGTGACCTCACCTCCCCAAGGAGTGACACAATCACTTCCATGGTGACACAGTGACAGTACATTCTGCATTGTTGTATGTCTGGAAACTTCTTCTTGATGTCAAATTCCCAGAAACAATTAAAAGTTTCTCCTTTGTGTTAGGCGTCTCCAAAAAGCAGAGGAGCGTGTGGTGAGCCTGTCACTCTCTCTCCTCCCTGGGCACATAGGTCACAGAGGAAGGCAGCAGAGAACGTGGAGATTTGAGCCTGGACAGAAAGATACAGCAAAGCATGTGGGTCCCCAGATGTCATGCACCTGTGAGAAGTTATTTATTTCACAGTCTTCATTCCCTACACCACAGTCTCCCAAACTGCACCATTAATTGTGTTTTGATCAGAAGAACAAAAAGATACATACAGGGGATGCCAGGGAAGAGTGAAAGTGAGGATATCATGCCACAGTGGATATTAAAATCCATTAGAGGCCAGTTGTACAACTCCCTGCAAACTAATTGGAAAGTCTCGTTGAGATGGGTGAAAGTTAAATTCAGAAAAATCACTGAATATGCACATTGCCTCAAATAAGTACCACTATGTTGGGAGCCACATGTTCCCAGTTATCACATGCTAACTGGGAAAGAATCAACAGCTTTCAGATAGCTAGCTAGATAGCTATAGATATGATGTAGATATAGATATCCTACAGATATGTGTATAACAATGAAGTCATATCCTAAGGAATAATTGAAGTACTTATTGCAATATGCAAAACAAAATGCCCAAACATCTATAATGTGACTACAGGGCATAGTCTACGAGAAAAAAATGCTCTACTTGATTATAATTCTATAATGAAAGGGAGGTTGTAAGTAATAAATTATAACATTAAATGAATATAGCAAAATATGAAATGCCAAATTAATGAAGAATTAAAGATTATATGTAAACTAGCTTGAGATAAACTCGGATGAGAGAAAGCACAAAATAAAACCATAGTTTTCCACAAGAAGTCAGGAATTTAATTTCAACTTTTATTAGAAAAAACATAGGTGTATATTAGAAGTATAAAAATGAAACATCCCACAAGGCTCAGATTAGATAATATTTTCACGTCACAAACCTTTGTGGTAATCAAAGTGCAGCATTTTAAAAATAGATTGAGAAAGTAGTAAAATACAAATTCATTATAGTATACAGACAGGAATAAAAATGCATCGTTTTAATCTGCTTACAAATCCATAAATTAAGTTCAGTTTCAGATTGGAGATGATATTATAAATGTACAATTGAAATATAATAACTATACATCAAATATTCAGATAAAAAGAATAGAAATCCAAATCCAATTTCCATAATAAAAAAAGCTTTGGATAGTCATTTAACAAAACTTCAAAAGCGGTGATAAGAATACTTTAAAACATTATTTAGAAAGAACATGTGCCACTCAAGAAACATTTGTTAGCAGAAATGAAGTTTCTCACGCAAGCACTCTCAATTCTCTCCTGAAGAAACAAGGCGAGAATAAAATAATTCCAAAGGACACAGAGGGAGAAAACAACCTTTGTGATAATAGAAAGCAATTGAATTCAAAGAAAAAATACATATAAAATTTAAGCAAACTTAAAATTATTTACTTACTCATTTACTTTGCATCTTGAAACATCAGCATTTATTACTAGAATTTGTTTCTACAAACCAGACAGAGAGTTTCTAATGCTGTACCAAAAGGAAAAGATGTAGATAAAGCCATGGAAAACCATTTCAGTAATGTACTGATCTAAAGAGAAAAGAGAGAATTCAATTTTTCATTGGAAATAAAATACATTAATCACAACTTCTTCATCCACTCATTAACTGATGGACACAGATTCATTTTTTGTTTGGTTGCTATGAATCATGGTTCAGGGAATACAGGCATAAATATAACTCAGAGATAAATTCAGCAAGGTACCTGCACACAAATTAAACCCAAAAAAGAACTGTGTTTCTGCACACCAGTAATGAACCCACTGAGAAAGAAATTAGGAAAATAATGCTATTTACAACAACATCAAAAAAATTAAAACTTAAGAATTAACCTGACAAAGGAAATAAAAGACCCCTGCATTGAAAAGTGCAGTGCTCTTAAGGATATTGAAAAAGACATCAGAAAATTAAACTATCCCTATTCCTGAGTAGGCAGAACTAATATTACCAAAATAACCATATTTGCAAAAATGATATACAAATGTATTGCAACCCCAATCAAAATACAAACGTCATTCCCTAGAAAACTAGAGAAAAATATCTTAACATTCTTATGGAAATGCGCAAGACCAGAATAGCAAAAGCAATGCTGAGTAATAAGTGCAGAAGATCTCACAATCCCAGATTTCAAGATTTATTACAGAGCTACAGTTATAAAAACAACATGAAACTGGTACAAAACAGATATGTGAATCAGTGGAACAGAATAGAGGATACAGAAACAGCTGCAGGAACATTGAGCTATCTGACCTTTGACAAAAGAGCAAACACACACTGGAGGAAAGATAGCCTCTATAACAAATGGTGCTGGGAAGATTATCAATCCATATGTAAAAGACTGAAGACAGACTCATGTATCTCACCATACACTAGACTAAAATAAAAATAGATGCAAGACAAAAATATTAAAACAATAAGATAATGTCCTAGAAGACAAAATAGTTAAAACTCTTGACAACAGATTCAGGCAAGGGTTTTCTGAACAGAACTCCAAATGCACAACAAATAACATCAACAGTTCATAAATTGGTTTATTTTATTTTTTATTTTAAAAATAAAAGAATGAAAACATATAACAGACATCCACTTACAAAATAGCACAAGAACAATACAAACAATACTGAATTACAGACAAGGTGACAGGAAATTAACATTGGTTGCTGTATTACATATTGCTAATTTCAAAGTGGTTAATCAGGAAAACAAATATAGACATGAAAGACTGATCAAATAATTAATCATTAACTGTTCCTTTCACTAAAGTGCTATAAGTCAGTAGCACAACTATGTTAACTATTCTGTGTATACATATATACATAGTTTTCCCCTTCTTGCTTCTCTCTTTTCCCTCATCCCAGTTGTTCTTTACTTTTGAGCAGTATCCTGTTTCACAATATCTTTCATACCTCCTAATTTTTATTCACTTTTCACGTTCTTACACTAGTGAGACCATATGTTGCTTACACATGCAGGTCTGATGTATTTCACTTATGAGTATGGTCTCTAGTTGTGGCCATTTACCTATAAAAGCCTTGAGTTTATCTTTCTTTATAGCTGAGTA